GGTGGCAACTTTCGTCGCTACACACATAAAGCCACACGACAAAACACATGTGATAGCATAATAATTAACCTAAATTGCACAGCCATCATGAGTCACAATGCAGTGGTGGTGGCGGTGGTGGTAGTGAAATCACACCACAATCAAGAATAGTTGTAAAGCAAATCTGCAGCCACTGCACACCCCAATTTGTCCTTTAAACTGGGCCCACTGCAGCCCCAGACCAACTATACCGTATTGATTAGGTGGCGTTTCACTTTCCACCAGTCCACTGCGCAATATCACAGTATTCGCTTGCCAATAGTCCACTGTACAATGGTGTCACTTGCTACCAGTTCATTGTAGAGCGACGTCACTTGCTACCAGTTCATTGTACAACGATGTCACTTTCCACCAGTCAACTGCACAAAATACTGCTTGCCACTATCCACTGTACAATGACAACAATGCGGTCAAGCCTTCTCATCTTTCAGCAAAGCTCTTGGGTGCACATACAGTCCATTTCAAAACTATAGACGCGTACCTAGGCAAAACCGTTATGCCAGCATCTATACCACATAAAATCTGTGATCACTTTGTGCATAAATTTTTCCAAACTGGGCGTCTGTTATCCAATCGTTTAGAAACTATATGAGAGTAATTGTGGAGCGGTCCTGAGCAATATTCCGAAAACTATTCTCAAAAAGGTCCAGCCAAATTTGAAATATTTCAAAAACCCTACGCGTCTATAGATTTGAAATGGACTGTAGACACAATCCAAATGAACACAATCTGGTTCGGCCTCGGAGTGAACTGTTGCAACATGAATGTCGAGCATGTACAGTGTATAACCGACACATCGCTTTTAAGCGATGTGTCGGTTATAAGAAACCTTACCACTGGCTTCAGGTCAGCTCTAGAGAGACGATCCTTGAAAAACCTGGCCACCCTCTGTCTCTCACATGCTGCATACACATAGCAAGCAGAAGGGACGGAAACAGTCAGTTACTAGTCGAGCCGCGGATTCATGCTTCCACAACCCGTGCATCAGCCGGGCTGCTAGAGTGGCAATGTGCTCGCAAAGTGACTATCGTACACATGCACTGCAATCAGGCAAAGTAGGACAGCTGTGCAAGCATAAGACACAGGACTCTTGCGTTGCTCCTTCCAGGGACGACATGATCTGTGCGTGTGTGCTTCTTCTTTCTTTTAACGAGAAATCACAAACCTCGAGAACAGAATACTACATGAAAGAGGTGGCTGCAGTCGCAGCTGTGCTGGTGAAACTGGAGTATCTCCGCTGATTTGAGGTCTCGGCTTCAGCGACACGTCAGTCCACCAAAAAGGGATTCGGTGCAATTGATCTTATGAGCACGCACACACAACCAAACGTGAGCCATGTCTTAGGAGAGAGTGTTTCTGTGATCATGGGTTAAGCTGCATGGGGGGGGGGGGTACATACCTGTTACCATGATGCCATCCAGCATCCAGATCTGTGGAAGGCAATCAATGGCATGGATCCGGTCTAAACACACATACATGCATGTACACATGCACACGTGTGCGTGCACACACACATACAAATAAACACACCTCAGACCTCCCCATCACGGAAGCGATGATAGCGAACAGCTATGTTAGACATAGCCCAAACACACACACGCACACACACAAACACACACGCGCGCGCGCGCACATGTGTGTACCCACATGGAGGCGGTTGGGATGTTCAATATTCAGTCAAGTTAGATGTTTCTGAGACTAGCTTAGCTACCTTTCACCTCTCGTTGCATACAATGTAGAGAGAGAGACAGAGAGGAACTGCCTCCTTTGCCTTTGGCAACATCACAACAAAGATGCTGCTGGATCTTTTACTGCACGCTTCTAAGATCTGTCTGAAATAACGTTTTCGACCACTGTCCCTTCATCAGGATGAATGAGTTCAGCTGGGCTGGAGAGTAGATAATAATATATGTGCAAATGTAAGCGCAAGCAGTATATCAATAGCACTCAGCGAGTGTACAAATATGGCGCGAGATGAGAACTTTGTGACACCCCACATGCAGGTGCAAGTACTATTTTCATACGCAGATATGTCAGTACAAATAGTTTGTTTTGGGTGACACGCACTGCATCATGAGTATGTGCTAAATGCTAGCAGCACCTGAGCGGGTGCGAAAATGCTGAACACAGCGCCTACACTGGCTACAGTGAACAATACCCTGTGTGGAGTTTGTACCGGTGGCATGCCTGCCTGATGCGGCGCATTGTCTTGATGTTGACAGCTCCAAGCATGTATTTCAGGCAGCGAATGCTGCTCAATTCTCGTCCACCCGTGACTCCGGCCGTGGACCCGTGGACAAGTACAACATACTACTTCAGAAGCATGCCTTGACAAATCACTACACTGAGATAATGACTGGAGGCTGTGCTGCATTCCCCAGTACATGTATCTCCCAATCTCATTATCAAAGCACGCCAACAGCTCTCGTAGTGTGCATGGTCTCGGCTTCTACAGCTCTACAGCTCCCTCTATCAGTTGCGAGCAGGATAGCATGCACACATATCGAAGTGATGGTCAGAGGAAGAAACATGTCATGAAGCGGCTTCAAAGCTGAAACGCACCAGTAGCAGTCAGCTGCGGGCTTTCCCAGAGTTTGATCGCTTCTTGCACAGCTGATGCCTGGTTCAGAAAGTTGGTGGTGGCAGGCCGGGACCCTGAGCTCGTTAAAGCAAAACTCTCGTCAGAGTAGCTCTCGCCGACCTTAGCTGCCGCCACGTACCGGTTCAAGCAGTGCCAAAGCTCCTGGACCATAACTGCAGGAGGCAGCTGAGGTGGAAGAATTGAAGCACACAGGTTGCTTGTGACTGCAGGCAGCCAGCAGCATTGTGGGCACTAACTGGAGACAGCAGCAGGCATGGATCTTTCCGTGCTGACACCCACACCTCCACCCCATCTGCACCTGTATTATATTCACAATGCACAAGACATATCAAAGCATGTTGTGCTGGCTGCGTTTCCGCCAAGACTCATGCCTGTGATGCATCGATAGAGATATACATCGTACATCCATTGCAATGGCTGACGCTCGAGCAAAGACACCATCTCCAGCCTCACCTGTGCCGAGCTGTTGCAGGCACCTGTCGTTGAAGAGTCAGAGCTGTAACGTGATGATTGGGAGACCCATTGATTGGGAAACCCTCTCACTATCATTAGAAAACCATGGTAGTTGTTGTAGCTTAGTTATCCAAGATGAACGACTCGAGCAGTCCAGCTCGCCCGGCAAACCACCGAAGTGGAAGAGTATGGTGTGTATGAGTGGACCAGCGGCATCGCCTTTAGCCATAGCTTTGGGTGACCAAGGTGGCCCTGAGCACATGGTTGGGGTGAGCGCTCCCATGCCAAGCATCGGAAGTGATGTGTATGCACCGGACTGTTGCAGTGAAAACTCGTGTCATGTGGCTCTGCCCTTGCGGCATCGAGCACTTTTGCAAGTGCTAAGTATTACATTTAGCAACACAGCTTGTACCTGGGAAACTATTTACTCTTTACGACTAGACAAAGAAGAGGTATGGCGACTTTGACCGGATATTTGAGGAAGTGTGTGTGTGTGTGTGTGTTGCTCTAAAATCGGCAGGAAATATGCAAGCTCCTACGTAGGGAGCATCATGCGCGGCCCACAAGCAGACTACAGACATTTAGTAAACACAAGTACAGTGAAACCTGTGTAAGACGACTGCTCAAGAGACCTTCAAAACGTGGTCTCTTTTACCAGGTGGTCTCCTTATCCAGGGTCATTTGACTAGAAATATAGCATCCATTGGCCCTGGTTTCAGTGGTCTTTTAGGACAGGTGGTCGCCTTATCCGCCTGAGTGGTCGCCTTCACAGGTTTTACTGTATTACTAAACAGTGATGAGACACACACTGCTCCTGCGTGGAACACACACTGCTCCTGCGTGGAACACACACTTCCTGCCGAACTTGACACTTGACTGACATCCACTTCATCACCAACTTTATCACTGACACCTACTTCTGTCTTTCCCTCAAACCAGTGAAAACCTACTTCTAAATTACTACTAAGTAAACAGTAGTATATTTAGAACTTACAAGTATTTTTGTGTTCAATCTTTACTAGTAATACATTTTCAATTGAGTGTCCGTTCTATCTATTTCCAAATTTGGGTTGTGCTTTTGCTTTGGTTCTTACGTCATGGTTTCACACGATAGGCATTGTGAATAAACCCGTTCTCAAAGTATATCAAAAAGTATTCTTTCTAGACCAAAGAGTGGTATATTTGATAACATTTAATAACGATAGAAATTTTTACGATACTTCTCCAGACGTTTCGTTGTTCTGAACAACATCGTCAGTGGATAAAGAATGGAGGGCTTTGGGTGGTGGCACGGGTTAATAGGGAGTGATGGTGGTGAGATGAGGTGAGGTGAGAAGGTGAAGGTGGGAAATACATGTATCTAAGTTAATGGTGAAGGTTAGGTGCGGGTCGATACAGGTGGGAAGGGGTACACCCTTCGGGTAGAAGTGTAGGTTGGTAGAAGGTGTTGGTGTGCGTAGAAGGTGGAGTGGCGTAATGGAAGGGTCGGGTTGATAAATGTGGGAGAGAGTCTAGGTAGGGTGTGGATCAGCAATAGGTGTTGGTGTATGTGGTGGGTAGAATTGGCAAGAGGTGTGTGTGTGTGTGTGTGTGTGTGTGTGTGTGTGTGTGTGTGTGTGTGTGTGTGTGTGTGTGTGTGTGTGTGTGTGTGTGCGTGCGAAAAAGAGTAAGGTAGTGAGTATTGGTATGCGTGGAAGGAAGATGTGACAGAAGGTGTGCGCTATAGGCAAGGGGTGCAGGAATATTCTGAGGTGGTGGGTGGGACTAAAACAGGAGGTTGTGATTCATCTAGTGATATATATAATATCAGCAATAGCAGCAGTATATACAAAGAGGTGTGTGTGTGTATGCGTGTGCGTTTGCAAGCTTTTTGGTAGTGTAGTGTGTTGGGGGGGGGGGGGGGTGGGGAGAGCACCGGGTGCGGGTGTTCTTCTTCTATTGCGATCATTTTTGGATGGGTTGGCAGATAGTGGATGGTGGTAGGCAAGTTATGCCAAGAATCCAGTTCCCATATCTTCTTTTCTTCTGTTGATAGTTGGTTTCTTGTCTCGAATGGCATATGCCTCACGGATCCGGAGCCTCAGCTCATCCCTCTCCGTGAGCTGAGCAATCTCGTACATAATCTCTGGGGTAGCGTTTGGGTGTTCCCTTGCGTAGTGCACACCGAATGCAGACTTCTTGTCATGAGATTTTGCAGCATTTGTGTGCTCTTGGGCCCGGGTGTGCACTTGCCTCCCAGTCGAGCCGACGTATCTCTCGTGACAAAGGTGGCATGTAGCTTCGTACACGGCAAATCTGCAGGTGCACTTCTTCCTGAACATAGGGCATTCGCGCATTCTGCATTTTTCCGGTTCTCCTTTTTTCTTCGTGAGTTCTTGGATCGTTGGGGGTCGAGGGTTAACGAGGCGTGCCGTTATGCCGTTTTTCTTAAGTGCCTGTCGTACTTGGCCGTTAACCTTGTCGGAGATGTACGGTATTCTAAATACCAGTTGTTTCCCTTTTGTTTGTTTACTTGTGTTTCTTCTTCGGGCTCGCGCTTTGATGATGTGTTCTGCAGAATAGCCGTTCCCTGCAAGTTTATCTGAGATGAGGCGTCTGGCTTCCTCCGCAAACTCAGGCGTGCTGTTGTCTTGTGCTCGTTTGTATTCATTGTTAATGACCGCCATCTTAACCGCCGTTGGATGGTGGGAATCTGCGTGTAGTGTTATCCCTTTGCTTGCTTCTTTTACGTAGAGCTTGTGTGTGACTTTGCCGTCAGGAAGAATCTTTAGTCTGATATCCAGGATTGGTAGGAAACCATCTTTGTCCGGCAACTCCAGTTCAAACTTGATTGTCGGGTGTTTTCCGTTGAGTTTGGTCAGTAGAGATTGTGCTTCCGCAGGAGTGTCAACTGCGGTTCCCGAGTCGTCTACATAGCGAACGAACACTGGCAATGGCGGCGAGATGTTTCTGTAAATGTGGCGCTGTTCAAAGCGGTCCATTACGATTAGGGCTGAAACAATTATACCGATAACTCGCATATCGATCGTTAAGAGTGCAATCGATAATCGTTAGTGTTCGAAACGAGTGCTAACGATTTATTATGCATGCATATCAGTGACAGTATTCTAGCCCTTGCCACTCCATCCGATAGTGAATACGAGTACAATCATGTACTTCCAAGCGCGGTAAAATTGATTTGTGGATTTGAAAGAGAACGGGAGAGAAGACTTTGTCTTTTTGGTTCATTTGTGTGAGAGGTTGGAGGTAAGAGCAGTTGCCAGAGGGTGATGACAAGATTCTTTGCTCTAGAAACAACATGAAATTCTCAAGTTCATGTTGATAAAACCAGGCAGATTTCCACAGATGTCAACAGTGCGGTGCCACAAATTTCTAAGGTACCAAAGGTATCATGGAATTTCTTCGTAAACTGGTGTGCGAGGTACACGAGTAGAGCCGACAAGAATCGATAAAACCAATATATCGATCGTTAATGATATTGGTTGATCGTTAGGAGTTATTGAATGATCGTTTCAGCCCTAATTACGATGATAGCTATTGTGCCGCTGAGTCTGCTGCCCATCGCCAATCCCCTTGTCTGTTTGAATGTTCCAAGGGTTGGGTGTTGGAACACGTTGTTATATAGAATCAGCCCGAGTAGCTCTTTTAGGTCGACCGGTGTGAGGGAGTAGGTATTGATTTTGAAGCGGTTCGCGTATTCGAGGACGGTGCTGATTCCTTCTTCAATGCCAATGTTTGTGTACAACTATCAACAGAAGAAAAGAAGATATGGGAACTGGATTCTTGGCATAACTTGCCTACCACCATCCACTATCTGCCAACCCATCCAAAAATGATCGCAATAGAAGAAGAACACCCGCACCCGGTGCTCTCCCCACCCCCCCCCCCCCCCCCCCCCAACACACTACACTACCAAAAAGCTTGCAAACGCACACGCATACACACACACACACACCTCTTTGTATATACTGCTGCTATTGCTGATATTATATATATCACTAGATGAATCACAACCTCCTGTTTTAGTCCCACCCACCACCTCAGAATATTCCTGCACCCCTTGCCTATAGCGCACACCTTCTGTCACATCTTCCTTCCACGCATACCAATACTCACTACCTTACTCTTTTTCGCACGCACACACACACACACACACACACACACACACACACACACACACACACACACCTCTTGCCAATTCTACCCACCACATACACCAACACCTATTGCTGATCCACACCCTACCTAGACTCTCTCCCACATTTATCAACCCGACCCTTCCATTACGCCACTCCACCTTCTACGCACACCAACACCTTCTACCAACCTACACTTCTACCCGAAGGGTGTACCCCTTCCCACCTGTATCGACCCGCACCTAACCTTCACCATTAACTTAGATACATGTATTTCCCACCTTCACCTTCTCACCTCACCTCATCTCACCACCATCACTCCCTATTAACCCGTGCCACCACCCAAAGCCCTCCATTCTTTATCCACTGACGATGTTGTTCAGAACAACGAAACGTCTGGAGAAGTATCGTAAAAATTTCTATCGTTATTAAATGTTATCAAATATACCACTCTTTGGTCTAGAAAGAATACTTTTTGATATTACAATGAGAGTGAATAATCAACGGCTTGTCCACCAACTCTTTCTCAAAGTATATTTTGCATCGTAGGTGTTGAGCTCATCATGTTCATACCCATGTTGCTAGCACTTGCTGCTTGTCATCCAAATCAACCACTGGTATTGGCAAGTCATTGGCGTCATTGCACATAGGGTGTCACAAAATCCCAATCTCGCGCCGTATTCATACAGTAGCTGAGTGCTATTGACCCAGCAACTGCTGCTGCTTGCGCTTACATTTGCACAGTCATATACTTGTACATGTATCTACTCCCAAGCCTACTAGGCTAAACTCATTCATCATGATGAAGGGACAGTGGCTTGAAGTATTATTATTTCAGACAGATCTAGAAGTATGCAGCAAGAGATCCAGCAATCTCTTTTGTTGTTCATGATGTTGAATTTAAATTAACTCTTGCTATGCATCGCTGTCGCTGGCTCCCTTCCAGCTGTTTCCACCTTCGGCCCACGGCAATAGGAATATTCCCAGAGGTATGATATGTGTCTGTCTATCTGTGTGTCTGTCTGTCTGTCTGTGTGTCTGTGTGTCTGTCTGTGTGTCTGTCTATCTGTCTGTCTGTATGTCTGTCTGTCTGTCTGTGTGTCTGTCTATCTGTCTGTCTGTCTGTCTGTCTGTCTGTCTGTCTGTCTGTCTGTCTGTCTGTCTGTCTGTCCGTCTGTCTGTCTGTCTGTCTGTCTGTCTGTCTGTCTGTAGAGCTCACTGACTTGTCAGTTTGAGCAATCTGGCCAGGTACGTTCGGGCCTGGTTTAAATCTGGCTTTGGAAATTTCATTTTCCATTGCTATCAGGTTCGGCCTCATTTCCTCTGTGCTGCGCTGACGAGTCCACAAAGGATGAAACAGTTCTGTCCGCAGATTGAGTATGTATGTATGTATGTATGTATGTATGTATGTATGTATGTATGTATGTATGTATGTATGTATGTATGTATGTATGTATGTATGTATGTATGTATGTATGTATGTATGTATGTATGTATGTATGTATGTATGTATGTATGTATGTATGTATGTATGTATGTATGTATGTATGTATGTATGTATGTATGTATGTACGTCTGTCTGCCCAGTCTGATCTGTACAAGACAGAGACACTGGCCTGTTTCAAAGAAAGAGGCCGAATAGAGCATTGACAAAATAATTCTACAGGGGCTATAGAAAATGCCCCTTAGTTTCGGCCACTGCCAGTTTTCCTTTTAAAAATCGACGTCAGCCTGCTGTGTGGCGTTGTCCACCCCTCGGCTTCTAGTCGGTCAATCTGTCCGTCCGTCTCTCTCCCTCTCCGAGATGATATGGGAAACACACACAGTACTATACACACTGGACAAGACCACCACACGCACACATTGTTGTTTGATTGCTCCTATCCTTGCCGTTCGAAAACACACGCCGACCAGCCTGTCCACCTGTCTGCCCTAACGTCCATCTCTGTCCCTCTCAGACACTTTGAGAAATAACTTACAGTGCACATCGTCTTGCAGTCTTGGATTCCCTTGCAGCTGTAGATCAACAATGTGAATATGCTGAATGGCCTTCAGGCTCTGCCAGTCCAGACGATTGCTGGCCAAGAAAAGTGTACCGAACACGGGGAAGTGGCGTAAGCCGTCCAAAGCAAGCATCTGCAGTCACAATTTCAAACGGAACTCGGTGCAATCATAAACAGAGAAGAGCTGGGATGGTACTATGATCTCCAATATGGTACAATGGAGCTGTGGACATTCCCTACAACCTACTGTAAAAGCCAATATTCTAACGAGGCGCATATATAACGATTTCCCAAAATTTACTGGTTTACGTGTATCAAAGGTAACGATTCTCACTTATTCTCAACACTCAATAGGACAGTATATGTATCGATTTCTGTATAACGATTTCTATTTTAACGACAGATTTCTCCTCGTTAACTCGTTAGAGTTAGCACTTCATTATACATTGATATAATTGTATGGTTTTTACAGAACCAAGATAGTTCAAGTAATACCTTGCAGGGTTCTAGCCAGGTCAAAATAGGGGGGGGGGGGGGGCAGGGGAATCAGTTACCCAGTAATCCTTTTTCCCAAAATTGTCTTGCCATGCAAATTGCAACGTACGGGGGCAAACCCCGACTTCGCCCCAGACAATCGTGCGCTTATGAACCCTCTGGTAGTGACTATCGACCGCATTTTTGTTGAATTCCTGAAAAACACAAAATCGACAAATGAGTAGGGGCGCGTGTTCACATTGGGGCGCTCAATCAAAGTAGGCCGGGGGTGGGGTGGTGGGGTGGGGGGGGGGGGGGGGGAGTTACACCCCTACCCTCCTTCGGCTAGAACCCTGCCTTGACAACTGGCCCCTGGCCCAGACACAATCAATATCTATGGACATGTGGTGAATCTACATGCTGGAGGTCCTGATGTATGCTGAGGTGTAAAATGAGAAAGGAGATGAGCGGTCTCAACAAACAGGTGGCTTGTCTTTACGATGATCACTTTATTAAACACTAGCTTCACTAAAGCCGGGACAAGTAATCATCTGCATTCATTGACTATCTACTCTAGATGACCATCTCCTTTTCTTCACATTAAACTAATCAGCTACCAAAAAACTTGGAAATCGTGTGACCATACATGTACAATCAGGAATGCGTACCTTGTTGTGACACAGATCCAAGTGCCATAGCTCCCTACACGACTCCAAGTTCTCCACCGTCTCCAACTTGTTATCGCACAAGTTCAGGTACGCCAATTTAGGGAAGTGCTGAAGCAGCTCTATAGCAACTGAGCAAGGCATCAATAGGATTGCACACATGTGCATAATATAGAAATTACTATCATTTGTGCACCCAGGGAGATCCAGTCAAAGTTCTCGTATGTCAGTGATTATGAGGGGTGGGGGCCGGGACAAGACCATACAACATGCATTAAAGAGGTAACCGAGCACCGATGCCTGCTACCATATGTACATGTATGTGCGATAGTCTGAGTAGCACACCTCGGCCCTATTAAAATAATAAATACTACTACTACCACTAGCCCCATCACCATGATACTCCTCTATTCGGCATAATTATCACAAGGTGATCGGAGTATGTTAGTTCATAAAAAACAAAAAACAAAAAACATGACTCCTTAACGTGCACAGCACCTTACCAATAGAGAGCTCTGTCAAGTTCAAATATTCCACATCTTCCGGCCGTTCTCCATCCGCCCGGGAATGCAGAACCTACAACAGTGAAAGTACATGGTTTAAAAAGCACATACGAACACTACATACATCACTTGTACAGTAAAACCTGGCGTAAGCGAACTCTGGTTTTAGCGACCACCTGCTGTTAAAAAGACCGTTTTTCCATGCACCGACAGTTCTACACAGACACTGTGGGCCCTGGCTTTAACGACCGCTTTTGCTTGCACCATGGGGTGGTCGCTTAAACCAGGTTTTACCGTACTTTGCATACATGTAGCATGTGTATCACAGCGGCTGAGGGAGGTAGAAGGGGAGTACACTCACTGGTACAGTAAAACCTGCCCTAGCCGGACGCCCTTTGTGCAGCGTAAACTGTCTCGACATGACAGGATTCCGCATGATCCAAGGATGCACGTTCGACCCACAGCACTTTGGTGCATTGCCCGGTCAATACAGGATTCCGCTCGGTACAGCATCCGGCAAACACAATTTTTTACTGTATATACAATGTGTCAGCGATAGATCATTCTCGCTGTAATCGTTAGACTTTGTGCCTTGTTTGAAACTTCACTGTTATGCCTGGCTCGCACTAGGCCGATTTTTCGGCCGGTGCTCCGACACCGACTCCGATGTGAAACCGGCCGACTGGGTCGGACCTATACCCACCCACACGAATTTGTCAGAAACATGTGCGGCAACACCATCCACACTAGGCATTGTTCGCGCCGATCTTGGGGATTTCTTGTACGATTCCATAATCGGCTGAAAGATAGGCCTAGTGTGACCCAAGTATTACTGTAGGTGGCTGTAGCGAAAGCGAAGTAGAATGATGGCACGCTACGTCCCCTTCCAGGTTTTGGCCGTACCTTTCCAAGATCGAAAGTAGCATTGTACAATGCATGGCTCGAATCATCAGTACCACTGATTGTCCTGTGCAGGATACATCCTGTGCGCATCGTCGAAAACAGTGCTGGTTCATCGCTATAGGCAGGCATATTGGGATGGTCTAAGATCATGATTGAGGAACAGAGGGTACCGGGTTCAAGTCCTGCTTGGAAGCGGAAGGATTTTTCCCAGCCATGCTGCGACCCACAGTTATGTGGGAACTCGTGGCCTGGCACGAGGGAAGCATGGATGCAGCAAATGGGATTTTCGGTCTTGGGGACCACTTTGCTGGTGGGTTGATCTACTCACTTCCTACCGCTTTAGAAGCTGCATCTGCACCTTGGACCTTTGCAGGTGGTGGCGTTCCTACGGATGCTGAAAACTCAGTCAGACCGAGTCTCGGCTCTCAAGCGAACCTAGAATGTTTTTTTTTTAATTTTTGGCTCCTCAACCCTCAAAAGGCACACTTTGGCCTGATTTTCCAATAACCCCATCCCTCCCCCCTCCCTAGTATGCCTTTCTGGCAAGACCACAACAAGTAAGTAGCTGCAGTGGGGTCTGTGAGTGCTAAGAAAAGACCACAACAATTGAAAATAACTTCCCACACCCCATGCTGAGTGAAAATGGCAGTAGGCCAAAATTGTCATGTTGCACTCTATTTCCGGTCAAGTACCCCATGCACTTGGCCAGACTAACTGAGATCCTTTCCTACGGCCCTGCAATGCGCGAGACTCCGAGACGAGAAACGCCAATAGAGCTTTTGTTTCCCTTCTCTGTGCCCGTACACTCTCTCTCTCTCCAGCTGCACCCTGGAGTGTGACTAGTAGACCCAGGTGCTTAACGTCCGGACAGCTATCCTAAGTGCGTACACCCATAATTTCATGTTCTTTTATCGTATTCGACTTAAATATTTTATCGAGGGGGCACTGTAGTATGTTCTCCTGGCATACCAATTTTCAGGGATCTACGATAAGCATAAGTCCCATGCCGCGCGAGTTGGCTTTCGAGTGTCCATACGAAATACAAATTGGTTTCATGCAAAAAATCAACTTTGCTATGACCGATTTCGAACGGACATAGCGCCAAACAGACCTTCACTAAATCATCAAGAGCCAGCTTATAGCTGAGATTGGCCAGAGGAGAGAAGAATTAACAGAGAACCACCGATCATTGCAGAAAGGTTGACACTCCTGGCATCTCCACCACCGTCTCCCCGCGGTTTTCATAGCGCAGATGCTTCTTCTCTGAGCTGACTAAAAACAGCTTGCCTTTCGGCAACAAACTACGCTTTTCCAAGGAATACTGGTGGAGGATCATGCCAAACATATCGCTTTGGTACTTCCGTCGTAACCGAAGGATAGCAAGTTAACAATTATCAGAAATACGTGTGTATTTCCGACTACTGTTTCGAGTCACCTCTGAGCTGTACGGACTTTAGAGCACCCTCTGTGACACCAAAATTTGATATGAAAAAATCAGCGAACTCCAGAGAAACAGATCGGATCGAAAGATGGCCTGATTCAATCGAGCCTGGCCTCAAAACAAACTTCGACAAGATACCTTCCACCCACACGCAGGATTCTGGCAAGTGATCATTGCTGATGTGAGTTTCAGCTCGGTAAACACACACACACACACACACACACACACACACACACGCTGTAAACGTGTCTGGACTTTGAGCACCTGGGTCTGCTATGCAGTAAAACTTGTGTTTGCCAGACAATGTACCAAGCAGAATCTTGCATTTACGGGACATAATAATGTCCATGCACCAAAGTGCTGTGGGTCCAGAGTGCATCCCTGGATCAAGCGGAATCCTGCCATATCAGGACAGTTTCCGCACCAGCAAGGGTGTCCGGACAGGCAAGTTTTACTGTAATATGTATTGGTGACCACCCCAACCCCAACCCCAACCCAACCCCAACCCTAGCCTACAGTAGAGTATGTTGTTTCCAAAGGGTTAGCCTGGGACGTTCTTATTTTTCAGCAATCTAGCTGCGTTCTTATAGCACTTTCTTAGAAACAATCCACAATCCCACAAGCTGCCAGAAAACCAACACCGCCGTTCTTAGCTTTAGGCTGTGGCGTTCATAGAACTTCAGGCTGGACGTTCTTGGGTTCCACGTTCTTCAGCGCGCGACTCTACTGTAGCTGCCCACATATCTGTCCCCGGGGAAAATTGCAATTCCGCAGCCGCGGTTTTTTCCGCGGTTTTTGCGATTTTTTAAAAGACCGCGTTTTCCGCGATATTCCCGCGTTTTTTGAACTCTTTGTTGCACTACACGTACACACAGTGCACTGTTCGGTCAGCAACGTCTCATCGTGGCGGCTTTTTACTCAAATATGACGAGTGCTTACACCAGAGACTTGTAACTGATTGATTTCACTACATACTCACTGAAAATTGCCGCACATCAATATTATTCACCGCATATTTAACGCAAATTTACCGCAAATTATGCCATATTATGCCGCATTTTTCCCCGCGTTTTTGCGATTTTTTTCCGCAATTTTCCCCGGGGACAGACATACTGGTATGCACTAGTATTGATGGAATTCCTCAATCAACTATAATACGTGTACTAGTACCGGTGCTTGAACTTACCTGTGCAGTCAATCTCATTGTGGACGACGGAGCGATGCGACGTTCGAAGTGACCGGCGACACTCCGCCCTGCATATCACGCAGTAGTAGCCTTCCCGCAATGCTACGCGCCCTTGACCTTATCTAGTCGGTAGACACAGGCCGTCCAACTAGGTCTTCCAGCTTCTCCGGAAGCAACGAAGCCTCCAAGTTTTTTTCATTCAACTCGGGCGTAGGGGTAGGTGGTAGCAAGCGTTGAGCGGAGTGCAAGCGCTGCAGCGACAGTCTGTTTGACGCCAGGGTCTATGTACATGTTAGTCTGGGCTTTTACTCACAATGGAAAGTTAGTTAGAAGCCCAAAGTCAACTTGAACTGGGCCCGACCCTTGTTGCTCGGCGGATATTCACGGAGGAAGGTAACAAACTAGAAACATTAGGCAACACCTGAAATTCAAATCGCCCTCTCGACTCTGACACATTGACAGCCAGAACTTTACAGCGAGAGTGGCCATCCTCCACTGCCACAGATAGGGACAGTTTGGCTGCTGCCACAGTGCCAGGAACGCGGCCTGAACTTGTCGAGAGGAGTGCCGCCGGACACAGCGGATGAAGCAGCTGATTAGCGTGGGATTCTGTCGAAAACGAAGTAACATCGAGGGGACACACTAGTACACTGCCCATCAGGCATCATGGCCCAGGCCCTGCAGGGTTATCATGGTTATGTACTAATGAGTAATGTAGTCATGCGACTTGCCAAAAAAAACGTCATCCCGCATGCGCACAAGGCAGCTTCTTTGTCGAGAGTCGACATGGTCGACAAGTAGATCTACTGAAGTAGACTCTACCGGAGAAGATCTACTGAGTCTGTAGTGTAGATCATGGGGGGGGGGGGGGGGGGGGGGGTGATGCCTCCACTCCACTCCACTCCACGTCGCCAGACTGGACCAGAGTCCAGTGCAGGTCCATGTGCATGTGGGTGAGGCCTGGGAGTGGGGGTAGATCTACATGAGCTACGGCCCTTGCAAGCGTCGGAATAGATCTCTATCAGTCTATGCCCGACCCGACTTGTTGCCAAGGCCAATACAGTGCCCGTTGCCAAAGACAACAAACATGTCAATGCTCGCTTCATTATGACATCAGGAGTCGGGACGACAAGACGTCACAAGATGCCGTACAGTGTCATTGTATGCCATGACTGTTGTCGTCTTCTTGTCGATTATCACTAGTAAACTACCAGTACTAGTACTACTACTAGTAGTACTAGTTACTAGTAGTAGTACTAGTCATTAGTTGTTGTAGTGAACTACAGTACTTCACTCTTCAGACTTGTCTTCAACACTACAACACTACAAGCAACACTCAACAGTCAAAGCATGTGTACAGACAGTCATGTAGCTTTGATGTGCCAGCCCATGGCATGGCATGGTCCACATCCTTTATTGCTGAACCCACAAATAATTGTGATACAGATTGTAAACCATTCGAGGTAGAAGAGAAAGCCATTAAAAAGAAAAGAAAAAAGAAAAAAAGGTTATTGTACCATGCCAGACGGCTATTATTAAAGGGAAACTGAACGCCAAAAATAAGTATGGCTTATCCGAAGGAGAATTGGGCACTGATTCCGATGAGCTATGTCTCGAGCCGATCAGAGAAGAGGAACCGTGTCAAATTTCATAAATAACACCTTCCATATTTGGAAATTGGGCTTGATGACGTGCGTACTGCTTAGCTGTCACCATGCTGTGCATGCTCAGCATGTGTAATTGAATGGAAGAAAACAATTACTTTGGTGTTTTGCAGCTCTATTTCGTTCCCTGACGGTACCCAAATCTAGATGTAGGAATCTGTTGAGCAGGAGAGTGACACATGTCTTCCCAAAGGCTGTCCAGCCTGCAGTGGTGATGAAGAAGACACGAATATCACCCCAAGATCGATTGTAGCGAATTGGACAACTCATGGTGAATTTGCTTCCACTCCAAGGCAATGTCGAGGTATGAAGGGTGCTTGTACTGCCTTCCAAAGTGAAGCGGAGATGAACATGGCTTTGCATAGCTGTTGTTCTACGCCAACTTACCTACTCTTGCTGGTACCGTAGTGGTATATTGCAAATTTCGTGGACGAACAACTCGAGTCACTAGTGGCTAGTGAGCAACACTAACAGGTGAGATTTTCAATTTGACAACAATTATTGTTTTTGTTTGAGAACTGACGGTGGCAGTCATTTGACTCAGTAGGTGTCTCTGCTGCTTCTTTCCCTTCATTGGTAGGGTTTTGCTTGATAGTACAAGTGCTTGAAGTAAAATAAAATAAATAAAACATGTGGAACATAAATCTAATCAAGCATTAGTACATGTATTGCGAATTTCAACTTCAAAGCACATGAAATCACAATGATCACAAAGTTTATGGAATCAGAAGGACTCCCTATGTTCAACGAACACAATACACACATGCTATATTGCGCACACGCATGTACACATGTGCGTGCACCCCCACCCCATTCCACATACACATGCATGCAGCGCGCACATCCATACACATATGCGTGTACCCCCCCCCCCCCCCCCCACACACACACACCTACCAATACACATATGCGTGTACCCCCCCCCCCACACACACACACGTGTGCACAGACGGATACACACACACACACACACACACACACACATGCAGAAACACACACACAAGATACTTGTAAGTGTACATGGTCTTCCTGGTGCAGATGCTGGGCCAGCACAATGGAAAATACCTCTATCAATATGCTTGATCAAGTGTTGTGATAATGGCACTGCTTGTTTGTTTTTACAAAGACGTGTGGGAAGGATTACAATGCGTTATAATTCATAATTGTTCTTTGCCTTGTACTGTGCAGACCAGAATGCTTCGCCAACAACTCCTGGCTTTCCATCGGCATGGTGTTCAGCTGCAGCGGCATCTGGTCCGGGGAGTACAAGTTGCTGGATGGCTGCACTGACACAAGATGGGTTTGCGTTGGCAATGAAATACGGCAGTCATCCCACATTATGAGCTACAAGTTTATGTAATTTATATTGTCTCTCGTCCAGCAACGTCAAGGCTCTGCATGTAAACACAGGAGAACACCATGATAATTATACTACTCAGGGGATAATAATTATAATTTTGGCCTATCAATTTCTTGACATTTATGAGTTCCTGTCTAAACCATGCCGTGATATTGATTGCTATCTGCTCACAAAGTACCTCGTATTGTAACAATACTCTGCTTAATCACTACCCTCTGTCAATTATTAGATTCGCACAATATTCACAACATATGCAACACGATGCTGTCTATTGACACTACTTCGAACTGAAATGCTCACTTCTCGTCTCCCGTTTGCAACTCCCTCTACCTTATGAATACTCTACCTTACTGGTTTCGTTTCTACCATTTCCATTGCTGCCAGCTCCCAGTCTTTTTCAGTGCACAGCACCACCTTGAATTTTTTTGTGATTTGATGTACACATACTTTGAAGTTGAAATTCGAATTACATGATCAGATTTTTGTTCCACATGTTCTATTTTATTTTGACTTCAAGCACAACCCTACCGATGAAGGGAAAGAAGCAGCAGAGAGACACCTACTGAGTCTAAACAAGAACAATTTTTGTCAAATTGAAAATCTCACCTGTTAGTGTTGCTCACTAGTCACTAGTGACTCGAGTTGTTCGTCCACGAAATTTGCAATATACCACTACGGTACCAGCAAGAGTAGGTAAGTTGGCGTAGAACAACAGCTATGCAAAGCCATGTTCATCTCCGCTTCACTTTGGAAGGCAGTACAAGCACCCTTCATACCTCGACATTGCCTTGGAGTGGAAGCAAATTCACCATGAGTTGTCCAATTCGCTACAATCGATCTTGGGGTGATATTCGTGTCTTCTTCATCACCACTGCAGGCTGGACAGCCTTTGGGAAGACATGTGTCACTCTCCTGCTCAACAGATTCCTACATCTAGATTTGGGTACCGTCAGGGAACGAAATAGAGCTGCAAAACACCAAAGTAATTGTTTTCTTCCATTCAATTACACGGCTGAGCATGCACAGCATGGTGACAGCTAAGCAGTACGCACGTCATCAAGCCCAATTTCCAAATATGGAAGGTGTTATTTATGAAATTTGACACGGTTCCTCTTCTCTGATCGGCTCGAGACATAGCTCATCGGAATCAGTGCCCAATTCTCCTTCGGATAAGCCATACTTATTTTACCAATTGTAGTACATGACGTAGTAGTCTAGTCACGCCGTGGCGCCGTGAAGTTGTTCACCATCCAACGGCAAAAGCGGTGGCTCTGTTTGAACATCCGGGATGGCAGAAGTCATCACCTCCACCAGCACATCACGAAGCTCATTGTGTCGCAGACTTGGGTAGCCCCCTGTAGAGCATGTCAATGCATGGTCGCCAGACATGTCTCTACCACACACACAAGTTGGTCGGAGGCCGTCAATACCCCAGCTATAGCGCAGGGCGAGACCATCCCGGAAACATGCTTTATTTAGCGCAAAGCCGTTCACAGCCAGACTCGGCCGAGGCTCAGCCAACTGGAAACGCCAGCATCAGCAGCAATCTCCAACAGCACCCGCTGACATGGGCTGAGCTCAGGACGCAAAGCAACCTGAGCCTCCTTAGCCGCAGTAGCCATTCTCCGACGTTCGGCATTGCGCAACGCCATTACCTTCGCCTGCAAATCAGCCGGAGCAATGTCAGCATCAGGGCGACGAAGCAAATCAATCACCGGCCGTGCCGAGGCCATACTGGAGGTCCACTGATGCACTGCATGAGGCCCAATGCCAAGAGACCACCGGACTTGACAGGCAAGCCGATGAGACTCTGCTCAACGGTGGACATGTTCTTCTGACCAGTGATTGCTGGTATCAAATAATTGTTGTCAATCACAATCATTATCTAGCCTGCCGAAAGCATCCCATGGCATGCCATGGCATGGTACAGTACGTGGGCCAAAAGTGAAACTGTAGTGTTTGTTCTCCGTGACCTTGGGCTTGGAGGCTGGTAGTACTAGTAGTACTAGTAGATCTCTGGTGGAGACTCATTGCGGAACTTCGCATGTATCACGAAGGAGATACACGGCACAAGAGAGATAACGACGTCCTTGGCGTGCGCTGTTTTGTTTGCCGCAGGAGTGTAGCCTGCAATGCCATGTGCTACAGTACCGGTTTGTTGACACAAAGTGCAGTTTTATTGTGCGTGGCAAATGGGATTTCGGGCTTTGGCCTCTGGTTGGTGAATCTGATCCATCCTCCCCCACTGTTTAGGAGCCGCATCTGACGCCTGAAGATCACGGGGCATGGGGTGGTGGCGTCCCACCGGACCACGGAAGCGGAAAGGTGAGAAGGAGAGCTCTGTGCCAGAACTTCAATAAAGTCTTTGCAGCTTAGAGAGCGTGTGTGGGCAGGCGTGTGTTTACCGCCATATTGTCACTGGTGTGTCTTTACCACCATATTTATCAGCCATGTATTGAGCACACACAATAAAATAAAATTTAAAAAATTGGACGGTTCCCATACCGGGCAGGTCAAGCACCACCACCACCACCATCAGTTCGCGCCTGGCGCCTCGTCGATGCATGGTTG